CGGTCGGAATAAGGAGTGGGGGGGGGCTCGGGGACGGCGGGGGGAGCACGGAGGAGAAGGTGCGGGGGCCGGGGAGCGTGGAGGGAGCACGGGGGAGAGAGAGGGGCGCAGGGGAGGAGCGGCGGGTGGGCGCACGGTCGGAATAAGGGGAGGGGGGCCCGGGGAGAGCACGGGGGACAGGGCGCGGGGGCGTGGGGAGGGTGGGGGGAGCTCAGGGGCAAGGAGAGGGGGCGCAGGGGAGGAGCAGGCAGGGGGGCGCGCGGTCGGAATAAGAGAAGGGGGGCTCGGGGAACGCGGGGGAAGCACGGGTAAGAGGGCGCGGGGGCCCGGGGTGGGTGGGGGGAACGCGGGGGCGGGAGAGGCGCGCAGGGGAGGAGCGGGGGAGGGGGCGCACGGAAGGAATAAGGGGAGGGGGGCCCGGGGAGGGCGGGGGGAGCACGGCGGAGGGCGCTTGCGGAGGCCCAGGGTGGGGGGAGCACGAGTGCAAGGGGAGGGGGGCGCAGGGAAGGAGGGGGGGGCCAGCACGACCACCAGCATGACCGCCAGCACGACCAGCCACCAGCACGACCTCCAGCACAAGAACCAGCACGACCACCAACACGACCACCAGCACCTCCAACACTACCAACCACCAGCGAGGGCGGGGGGAGCACGGCGGAGGGCGCTTGTGGAGGTGCAGGGTGGGGGAACACGAGTGCAAGGGGAGGGGGGCGCAGGGAAGGAACGGGGGGCCAGCGCGACCACCAGCATGACCACCAGCATGACCGCCAGCACGGGCAGCAACCAGCACGACCACCAGCGCAAGAACCAGCACGACCACCAACACGACCACCAGCACCTCCAGCACTACCAACCACCAGCACGACCACCAGCAGAACCACCAGCACGACGACCAGCACAACCACCAGCACGACCACGAGCACGACCAGCCACCAGCACGGCCACCAGCACCTCCACAAACACGACCTCCAGCACAACCACCAGCACGACCACCAGCACGACCACCAGCACGAGCACCAGCACCTCCATCAGCACGACCAGCCCCCAGCACAACCACCAGCACGACCACCAGCACGACAAGCAGCACAACCACCAGCACAAGGGAGAGCAGCAGGCCCAGCCAACAGCACCGGGCCAGCAGCACGACCACCAGCACGACCACCAGCACCTCCACCAACCACGACCACCAGCACGACCAGCCAGCACCACCAACCACCAGCACGACAACCACCACAACCAGCAGCACGACCACCAGCGCAACCACCAGCACAACCACGACCAACCACCAGCACGACCACCAGCAGAACAACCAGCACGACGACCAGCACAACCACCAGCACGACCACCAGCACGACCAGCCACCAGCGCGGTCACCAGCACCTCCGCAAGCACGACCACCAGCACAATCACCATCACGACCACCAGCACAACCACCAGCACAACCACCAGCACGAGCACCAGCACGACCACCAGCACGACGACCAGCACAACCACCAGCACGACCACCAGCACGACCACCAGCACGACCAGCCAACACCACCAACCACCAGCACGACAACCAGCACAACCAGCAGCACGACCACCAGCACAACCACCAGCACAACCACTACCAGCGACCAGCACGACCACAAGCACATCCACCAGCACGACGACCAGCACAACCACCAGCACGACAAACATCACGACCAGCCACCAGCACGGCCATCAGCACCTCCACAAGCACAACCACCAGCACAACCACCAGCACGACCACCAGCACAACCACCAGCACAACCACCAGCAGGACCACCAGCACGACCACCAGCACAACCACCAGCACAACCACTACCAGCGACCAGCACGACCACCAGCACATCCACCAGCACGACGACCAGCACAACCACCAGCACGACCACCAGCACGACCAGCCACTAGCACGGCCACCAGCACCTCCACAAGCACGACCGCCAGCACAACCACCAGCACAACCATCAGCACAACCACCAGCACAACCACCAGCACAACCACCAGCACAACAACCAGCAAGACCACCAGCACGACCACCAGCACAACCACCAGCAGAGCGCACGGTCGGAAATAAATCAGTGCGAAATCATTCCGGTAGGTTTGATGATAAAGGCCCTCCAGGGCTCCTCTCGAAGTCCCCTTGGGGCGTTTTGGGGTTTTCTTTAGGTGGTCTTGCGGCCATCGCGGGCCGTCTTGGGGCCCTCTTGCACCGTCTCGGGGCCCTCTTGGATCGTTGTGGGACCCTCTTGGGACTCGCTTTGGCCGTCGGTTCGATGGTCTCTGGGAAAGTCGCAAGACACAGCCCTCAAATTGTCCACACTATTCAATGCATGGGAGTAGATGGGAACTGAGGGCGCTCCACTTTCAGTACCTCGCGGTACACTGGCGGGTTCTTGCATCCCCACACTGGCCCATCATGGCCGTCCGTAACCGATTCCTCAAACAAGCTCGGGGGAGCCCGAGCAACAGAGCAGACCCAGTTGTCAACCATACATGCTCGGGCAGACCTCGCGTGGAAGCTGCTTTCAGCCCGAGGGGAGCGTCCTGGAGCTCTCTCGGGGCGCTTTTTGGACAAGCATTTGGAGCCCTGTTGGGGCTCTCTTGGGGTCGTCTTGGCGTCTCCAGGGGCCTTCATGACCCGTTCCAGGATCCCATCGGCCAGAAGCGGGGGGAGCGAGGGCGAATTAGGTTCTTCTTGTTTGCGGCAGGAGCATCCCGTCTGGGGGCCTTTATTGGGACTCTCTGGGGGTCTGGAGGGCGTCGTGGGGTCCTTCGGGGCTTTTCTCGCGTACCTTTTTTGGAGATCTTGGAGCCATCTAGTCCCATCGGCCCACCAAAAGCGAAACGGCGAGCATGCCAACATCATAAAGCGGCATTTGTTTTGGACGACCCTTGGGAGGCCACGCGGACATCTCGGACAGTCTTGTGGCGATCTTGGGCCTTCTTGGAGGCATGCTGGAGGCCACCTCGAACTGCACTCGACCCTCTGGCGAATCTCGGATGCCGCCATCTCGTGGCATTTCGGGCCGCCCTGCAGCGATCGTCAGGCCGAATGGACCTTCTGACACCGCGCGTCCGCCCCGTCCAGACCCCAGGGATGGTGTGGGGGAGGGGATGCCCCCCCCCGTTGCTCTCCTCCTCCCTGGAGGGTCCAGGCCTGTCCCACTAGCCGGAGCTCGACGGGGGCTTGAACATCGTGGCAGTGCTGCTACGATCGGTTTTCACTGGACCACGTTGAGGCTCGGGAGGCGACTCTGCAAGGCGGTGCCGAAGGAGCATCGTCATCCGGGCCCCCCAGCCATGATGTGGAGGAGGGAGGTGGAATGTTCGACCCACACAACCACCCACGCCCAGGGGGCTGGTGGGGTTGTTGGGTCTCCACGGCGAACCGATGAAGCAGCTCAAACTATCTGGAAGTGCCCGAACAAGTTTCCGAATTTGCAGACAATCCGGCGGAGCGCAATGCGTAAGTCATCGGCGCAACAACTTTTGCAGCCGTGCTGAAGCTGTAGTCGCGGAGTCCAGCGATGAATGAGCAGAAGGAGGGAGTCGATGACCTGATGGCCCACTATGGAATGATCCATGGAGGAATTCAGAAAACCATAGACAAAACTCGTGCGGATGCGGGCAAAGCCCAAGTTCCATTACGTCGTGTTCTGGAGGGAACAGAGAGCAAAACGCCGCATACTTGATATGGGAGACATCGGGGAGTTACAGGGAAAGGTGCTCCTAGTGCCGCCGGTGCGTATCCATGGGTTTGCAGCGTGGCTTGGGTGGGGCAGGAGGCGAGGCCTGCTCGCGAGGAGACAGAGACGGGGGAAGTTAACGCCGTGAAGCAATGCCAGCCATATTGGCGCCGAGGTGGGCAGAGGTCGTGGTGGCTGACCTGCGTTCTCGTTCGGACTGTCAGGGGCCGCGGCCAGCAGGTCCGGAGGGAATGGAGTACACCAATGGTACGTTCAATCGTGGAGTAGCTGGCCCCCCTGGGTTCAGGATGGGCGCAACGACCGCCTTTCCTGCAGAGGTGCCTGGGGGCCGTGTCTAAGTGGTGGGGTGCCCAGGAACGTTCGGTTGCGTCCTGTCAGGATGGAGCCCAAGACCACCTGGCCCGAATTGGGTGTCTTGTCCTCGAGCTCTGTGCGCGATGTTCAAGAGCTCATCGGCAAGCTTGGGCATATGCGGTCTTGCGAACGGTTCGTTCGGCATGAAGTTTGCCCAGATGTGATTGGCCCCAGGGAACTGTCTGAACGGAAGCTGACGTAGTTTTTACCGCTAGCGACGGATAATGACGGACGGGATTTTGCCTGATGAGGGTTTGGACTACATCGTGGGGTCAGCACGAAACTACCAGCTCCGTATCACGAGCACCGGGCATGTTGTCTTTTTGGCGGCCGCGTGCCGCTTGGCAGACCGCGTTGTGTGCATCTTTCGTGGAAGAGAGCGATGCGCGTGAGGAAACGGTCAGGATGCACGGTGCTAATGTTCGCGAATGGCACTCGGATCGAGAAAGCAGAGCTTTGCGTGTGCACGTGCCCGCATACTCGCAGATGCACGCGAATGGGTATGGCTATGGTGCGTGCGGTGCTTTTCAATCGCCGATCTTGCGGTGGAACGCGATTGTTCGCATGACAGTAGTTCAGACGGGTTGACAAGAGGGATCGAGGAACGGGGGGGGAGGGGTTGACGAGCTTTTTTAAGACGGTGCAGTATATGAGTAAGTAGCAGGACAATGGAGAGAAGCAGCATGATGAATATGTGGAGGAGGAGGAGGAGGAGGAGGAGGAGGAGGAGGAGGAGGAGGAGGAGGAGGAGGAGGAGGAGGAGAAAGAGGAGGAGGAGAACAAGTCTGATCCCCCCTTCAGCCCGTGCACTCTGACCGCTTCCAGGGATCCCGCTGCCAGAGTGTCATCCCCATCCCATTCGGTCCGTTTCCCCCTCTGGTCATTCTCAAGGGCGGCAGAGGTCGCTCCCCATGTCAGAAACGCACCCCGCAGGTTCGCTTTGCAGAACCAGATCCTTTTTGTGGCGGTGCAGAATCTGGACCGCTAGGGGGAGGGAGGTGGGTGGGAGGGGAGGTAGGAGGGAGAGGGTAGGGGAAAGGACACGCTACCCTCCCTGCACGCGAGCCGTCTCCTCGCTCGCTCCACCCGCCCTCCCGACACAGCAGTAACACCCGAGTCTCAGCATCCTCTGGTGTCCAGGTGAAAAACCACTGCAAAGTGGTCGTGTGGCGCCCGCGCATGCTCCAGCTCCAGATTTGGAGGCAACGTGTATTGCTAAGGTCTTACGACCGGTGCCACCGACCCTGGACGACGACCCCCACAATGGAAGAGGCGTTCGGGAAGGCAGGGGTCAGACGCTTCCGAGAGTGCCCAAGAGGCTACACAAGGCCCCCAAGAGGTGCCCAAGACCACCCCACGAAGTTTTGGGGGTGTCTTGGGAGCCTTTGTGGCAGCCTCCTGGGGCTTCCCTGCGGTTCCTTGGGAACGCCTGGGGGGCTCGTGGGGGTCTTCGGGGGGCCTCTATGGGCGCCAGGACCCTCCGCGGGGGGATGGTTTTCTGACCCGGGACACCCCCCCCTGGGACAACCTTTCCTAACCACCCGGGGACCCTCCCCCGGGACCTTCCTCTCCCCGGCGGGGAAGGGATCAAAGGGAAGGGGCATCATTTCGACTCAGCTACGCCGTTGCTCAATTTCGCTTAGGCTGTTCAGCTTTTGCTGGGCTGGCGCGCTTAGGGATGAGGGCCCAGGGAAAAGGGGGAGCGGCGACGGCGACGACGACGGAGACGACGACGAGTCAAACGAAACAGTCTCTCGCAAACGCCGACTGGGTCGGCGGGTTTCTGTACTTGTTGCGCCATGTTCAGCTTTCCATCTTGTGATCAGAAGAAGACTCAAGCGAGAGCCGCATTTTGAAAACCAGCCGCACTCCATAAGTGTAGCTGGCGGAGTCTTCGAGGCGGATGTGCGCGGCGCTGGGACGAGAGCCACTGTTTGACAACGATTCACAATCCCTCAGTGCAGCTTCTGGAAACTTGTAAGGTCGATGTGTGCGGCGAGCAGGTGAGAGCAACATTTGAAAACGAATCGCTCTCCGTGTGGCACGAAGGAGGCGAGAGCCACATTTTGAGAAGCATCCGTCCACCATTCGTGTAGCTGTTGGACGCTTCATGCGGCATCGTCATGGATGGGGGAGCCCAGCGAGCCAGACGTGCTCGCAACTCCCGAGGTGTTCAGAGTCTGCCTCTGTGTCTTTGGAGAGCAGCTGGCTATTAGATGTTGCCGAGTTCTGGCGTTCCCCCTCTCACCGCGTCGGACTCGACGGGAGCCCGCTCACCGCCCAGGCCGAGCGGAGCTGCGCAAGTTGTGAACTCCACGGGGGTAACTGCCGACCCTTTCGGCCCAGGGAAAAATGAAACTGTGGGAGAGTCTCAGGTCATACGCTCGGTCCGCCCAACCGACACCTCTTGTGGCGAGTCGAGGGGGGTTTAATTGCAAGAGGAGGAACGGAGGATGATGAGCAGGAGGAGTGATAGCCACTGCGAGGAGGAGGAGGAGGAGGAGGAGGAGGCGTGCGTGCCCTTTCTCTTTCCCCCTTCTCCCCGCCCTCTTCTTCCCCCGCCTCCTCCCTCGTCTCGTTCCTCGCCCGTCCCCCCCTCCTCCCTCCCGTGCCTCCTGCTCATCCTCTCGCTTCCCACCAGGACCCGCCGGTGTTTCAGGCCCTGACTCAGCTGAAGATTCTCTTCGCTGGAGTTTTCAGTTACGTGCTGCTGAACAAGCGGCTGTCTCAGGCACAGCTGCAGGAGAGGGGGGGGGAAGGATGAGGGACAGGAGGATGAGGGTCTTGAGCTTCTACGAGTGGCTGCTTCAGGCGCGGGCAGATTGACACAGTGACAAAGGCTGAGTGGCCTTGCCAATCATGCTACGGAGGGTGAGGAAGAGTTAGAGGGGGAAGAGGTCGGGGCTGATCTGGGGGTGTGTACCTACACAACTCTCTTGCAGTATCCCATATATCATCACTGTACGCGTGTGCTATACTCCATTTATGCTGGCCTCTCCTTTCCCTCCACCCTTTCCCACTTTTCTCTCTTTTACGCCTCTCCTCTCTCCCTTCCTTTCTCTTCTTGTTCTCCTCCTCTCCTCCTCCTCTCGTCCACGCCTTTCCTCCGTCCTTCCTCTCCTCCCCTTCTTCCTTCCTGCTCCTGCTCTGTCTCCCTCTCTGTCTCCTTCTGTGGCGAGCTCGAGGCGATGGGTTATGGGTGTAAGAGCAGGCCCGATCCTAAACCAGCGCTGTGTTCAACACATATACCTTGACGATGTTCGAAATCGCCAGCGGCGCAGGCGGCTGTCCGCATGCCATGCCTCGATGCAATCGCTGGCCCCCCATTCATCCTGCCAGAGCAGGATCGGCTGTTGCGGGGCTGGCGACACTTCAGCCACCGTCTCAGCAAGCTTGGCCATGCAGTATCTACAGCATTACCCGTTTTCGGGGCGCTAGCCGAGCTACACCATCATGTTCGAGCCCACGTTCTTGCATGTATCCTTGTGATGGGCCTGGGCAACACAGTCGAATATGGAGCAACTCCAGTAGCAGCTGTATGTGGTGTGGGGGGTGGGGCGACCTCGCGAGCGCGGACGACAGGAGAGTTCGCCAGATCGCGCTGGCGAACCTAGTTGTCAGCTTGGACTGGGCGAGTCGCATGACACAGAACGCCCTCAGCAGCACTGGTCTCAGAGGATCACCCGCACTGGACCGACGTGAAGACGGCGGGTCAGGAGTTCGACCGCGACCTCAAGGCCGCGAGGGAGAAAGTGGTCGGCCACCAAGTCACGGCTAGGATTTTGGGCCGTGTGCAGAGAAGTGTGATCCTGCTTTGCCAGAACATGGCCGACCACCACCAGGAGAGAAAGGACAAGGACAATGTCAGTCTCAAGCTGTCGGTCATGCCCAAGCTCAGACTGGCAGTTCTGGAAATCGTTTAATCCACTATTCGGAGAAACAACTACGTAAGCATACGGTTGGCGTCGCAAATGTAACATGCGATGTGGCGCCGCCAGCCTCGTTCTTACACGCTATCCCCCCCACCTTGGCGCTAGCGTGCACGGAGGAAACCCTGGCAG